GACGGCTTTATTTTTATATAATTTATTTATGGAATGGGCCCCGACAACATGATAAATGTTAAATTAGCATATTTACATCACCTGTTTATCAGACACGGGAACATGGTCGTCGAAGATGGTCCACGTGACAACTTCATTGCACTTTGGAGTTGTGAGCGATCCACGGTAGCGGTAGAAGCGGGACAGATCCCGAGGCAATACCGACGTCAGAGGGTAGAGATCCTTTGTAACGTTTTGTTCTCCTGCGCAAACAATAAAAAGACGTCGTACAGATTGATTGATTTATCTTATGATACTGAGCAATGATAAGTTCACGTTATTTACTTGGATAGATTACATAAAATTCGGTAAAGATTGCATGTAATTCGTCTCCTGCGATCGAGTTAAAATTGTCAGGCGCTTTCCTGATCAATAATTTTGAGATTAATTAGTCTAAAATGTATTAAAATCGTTCCAAAGCTGTAGGTAGTTTCACAAACTTTCTGCATAGGAAGTCACATGCATTTGAAGTTAATCTTCAATAATCGCATATAAATGTTTAGTATTTTACCTCTTCCTTAAATTCCTACACAGAGATAAAAAGAAAACTGTGACAAGTTGCATACCAGGAAAAACTTTATCACTCGATTTAAGTCAAGTAGGCACAGATCCTAATTTGATAAAGGAATCACCGTAATTGACGACACTTAGGCGCAGATAAATTCAACATAAATTAAACGATAGAAATATGAAGACATTATGCAATACCAGAAAACATCTTTCACTCGTACATAGCAAAAAACGAGCTCTAGTTACGGTATTTGACCATACATTAGTTTAACTTTGCATTAAATATTATTAAGGATTACAAGCCTTGGATTAAGTCAGACTATTATGGATGAAATAAATTTGTGGGGCAGGATTCGAAATGTTGAATTATTTGTTCAGATTCCTATTCAGCACTGTAACGTTTTAGTTTCGGGCTGCCTTCAATTAAGACTTGGGAGAGTGCAGGAATAGGTTCCAAACTATTACTCGTTAGTCGCACAACTTTATCGTTGTAAAAAATACCGTTTGTGCATGAAATGAGTCTAACATTTCTTCGTACCTGCTTCAAACATCATGGATTCTAGGGAATTACGCATTAATTATGTATATTTTCAAATATGCAACTACTACAAATATATATAAAATCCCTCTCGTTATTAACAGTACCTAATGGGTAATATTTTTTCTCCTAATAATTTTGGAAACGTTTTAAGGACGCGATTCACACAGACTTACCAACAGCTGTGTGCGACAGGAGGTGAGATATGAGGGGAGCAAGAGACGGGTTGTCGTATTCAGAGATGACGAAGAGCAAACCCAGCACCGCTACACCGTCGGGGTGCTCCAGAGCTGCTGTCAAGTTGCCGTACTCATTCTTGTGGTGCACAAGGTGAAGCTCCATGGGGTACCTTGTGTGGCAATATATTTAATAAATTTAGACCAAGAATAACATTAATATAATCATATTATAAGGCAAAGTTCTGCGTCGTACACAAGTATTGCAGTGGTTTGAGTTCCTGCCGGTTGATAGAAGTGATTATTGATTTACCTTGCTCAAGAATTTGCCCGAGTAATTTTTTATGAAAAAAATCAAGTTTATTAGGTAAACATTACAGATTCTGAAGACTATTATAATGTAGTAATAGTATAGTACTTGGAAAATAATGTATCAAGCTGTAATGGTTCATGGCATGGGTAGTGAGTGACTAGTGACTTACAATGCAGAGCATTCAAATAGAGCAATACATTTAGATGTGTTGAATGTGAGCTCGTTTGTAGCAGTAAAGGCAGTTTTGTCATGTTGACAATATATTTGTAATGATTGACTGTTAGATCGTTAGGAAAGTTGCAAACATGCAGTTGCACAACTCAAAAAATATGGTGGTGTTGTCGTAGGAGATGAGAGGTCGTGGAAGGCGATCGATCGCTGGTCTTGGGCAATTCACTACCATACAGAGAAATAAGGCTAGTTTGAATTAATAAATTACTTATAAATATCTTTGGTCCTCGTTTTCCACGTGAAGTCATGCACGTGGAATCACCAGAGATACACAATTGGTCGGTGCCAAAAATGCCGTCGCGCAGGTAGGGCACTTAAACGCAGTTCTCGATCGTTGTTAATAGGTATGTAGAATAATTTCTACATACTCATTAACATAACAATAACTATCATAATAATAGCAATAGTAAAATAAAGTACAAATCAATATACCTGACATGGTTGATGGTGTGCTCAGAGCCTCTGAGGTCGTCAGCTCCCCAGTGGATGTGGTACTGGACAAACGTGTAGGTGGCGCCCAGGTTACCCCCCGACACTTGCGGCTGGTTCTTGCTTTTGATCTTCACCTCCACTGGAGATTTGAAGTAATAAGGTTTTAAGATGGCATTCAAGCTGATTTATATGATTATTTGAAAGTGAAATTATTTTCCCGGGAACTTTTATTCATAGCATCTCATTGTGAAATGGTTTGAATCGCAAGACTATCATTCTCATTGATCAAGTGGTATTATCTAGGACAATAAATTTGGGACCATTTACAATTAAATTTTAATATATTCTAACGATATTTTATCGTTGAATTCGAAACAAGGAAAGTAAATTTTACATAAACGAATGTTAGTGTACCTCTGACACATGGATTGATTGGATTTATGTATCAACCAGCTAAAAGTATTTTTGACAATAAAACGTGTAAGAAATGTTTATGACGATTGTCAATATGAGTCGAGTTAAATTTTTACTCAATCAATCTATTTAAAGCCCTTCTACTTATTTTAAATTTTGTTTTCATATTATATATGAGGCACCAACGCAGACATAGGTCAAATATAATCGATTTCTCAAAAAAAAACAAAAGAAAACGATACGATAATTACGGTCTCATATGTACAAATCTCAACAATATTCAATTCCATAATTACCTAAAGTAGATAATGAAAAATTATTACTTCTGGATTTCAATGATGTATATCTTTCTTATGAACATTTCTAATGGTTTTGTGTTGGAGTTTGAAGCCTTCTCCACGATACTTATCGTGTCGGGATATTACCTGAACCTGATAATTTATTATTAGTGGGAGAATATGCAAGGATCGGAGAAAAGAGAGGAAAAGATTTGATCAAAAATTGAAATATGATTTGACAATAGGTAAGTATAAATTTAACTCATATGATCCGAAGCGTTTTTTTCTCATTTTCCAAACCAAGCGAAAAATAGGAATCCTATCTTCTATGTAAAATACATACCTCAAGCGGTATATATTAATTTGATTGCATAATTTCATATATTATTAAAACGATTAGTGAATGAAAGAATAACGGAATTTGGATTCCAAAGTTACAGGAATTCTAACGCCGAGCTAACCTGTTCTGTTGATTTATTATATATTTGCATATAAATAAATTTTCACGTCGTTCACGTCGATCAAAATATAGCACCAAATATAACTGGGTCTTTTGGCATTGACAGACAATTATTATTCAATATTACGAATGTTAGTGAAATATCTCGTGCGCTTGTAGCCGAAATAGTTTAGTTATTTATGGTAAATTCATTTCGCTTCATGTGAACAAATTAATGAATGTAACCTGAATGTCCGTTGTTTGTGATGCTTTCTGCTTCGGGAATCTCGTGATAATGGCTGAAGTAGAGAGGCTCAAACGCCCCTACGGTGGTGAAGAACGGGTCTATATTGATGGGGGATTGTTGCGAGCCGTTGCAGGATGGAAACTCTTCAGCCCAGTGGTCGAAACCTGCCATAAAAGTAAGAATTAAACGCTGATAATGGAGCTCTGTTGTAGAGTGGTAATTGTAATTCAAGTTACGTAATTGCAGCAATAGAGACGCTATAGATTATTTTTGAAATACTGATGAGGAAGAGTAAGATTGGTTTGTGATAATTGCCATAATAAATTTGCTCACTTATAGTAAGGCGCCTAAAAAATATCTTCATTCTGAGGATTAAAAGCTGAACAAGGGGCAACGATTATAGATTCTTCAAGTTTTGTCGTATCTCAAACTGAAATTAAAATGAAGTCGTAGCTCAAACCGATTCGCATCATTTGAATTGCCTGTTTCAGGAGGTTAAAAATTCATCTCAACGCGTTTCTACACCCTGAATATTGATGTATAATTATTGTATTTCAACGCCTTATACAAATAATGTACATTCGTCTCCTGAATTGAACGCTGTTATAAGCTGGCTGATATTGATAATATTATATATACGAGTTGAAAGCTTTTACAGCAGTGGTGAAATTATATTGAATTCACTGACAGAACCATATAACTGCTGATAAATTTGTAACACAATTTTTTACAGTGAGAAAATAATTGTATTTGCATACAGACTTGAACGCGGATACAATTCAACAGTGAATAAATTATTGACATGACACATCACTATTAAATTGTTAAATGATTCGGAAACTTTCATGACGAAATCAAATTCTGGTAATTTCATTGATGCGAGGAGATAACTGTAATGAAAAGAAGCTGAGCGTTGGTTGTGAAATAGTGCGAATGGAGACAGTTAATATAAGAAATATATGAGATAGTAATCAATGTTAAGGAGAAACGGTCACTTCACTCCGTTACACTCTCAATACTCATACTTGAATCTTTAGAATTCGTATTTTTACAATTCTTGATAAGGTAGAATTACAGGTTTGCAAGTAGCAACATTGGTGTCGAAGATTAAAGTTGCATTGACTCAAATAGCGTGACGATAGAGAGTTCATGATAAGGTTTAAGCAAGCGTGTTTGATTTTATACTCATTTTCTTTAGATTTTGCAAATCTAATACGTATATGAAAAATAAAATTGTTTAACTAATTGCGGTATTGAAAAGTTACCTTCCTTTCCCGAGTACTCCCATTGAGGCTTTCCTATTCCTGTTGGAGAAAAATTTCAAGCTGTAGAACATTAAAAACTTCTGTCTTATGCCTTACAATTAAGTATTTTATTTACGATTCACGATTATGAAATCATTCGAGCTGAAAATATCAATTTGTCTTTTCAAGTTTATCAAAAATTATAATTAATCCAGTGACCAGGAATTGGATCCTCGTACACCAAAAACTCATCAAGCACCGACATGATGACTCTGGAATTAATGAAGTAAAATAGATACCGTGAGCAGCGCACGCTGACAATAAACTTGCCAAGACCACGACACGCATCATCGTCACGCGCTGCGCGTCTCCACTCGAGACTGCACGGGAAAGAGTAAAACATTATTGCAATCTGCACGGGNGTGGTGCTGGTGATAAAAGTGTGGTCCGGGGATGGATATGAAGTGGTGCTGGTGATAAAAATGCGGTCTGGGGAATGGATATGAATGCGGCGCCGGCGATATGTGTAATTGTGTACGGATGTGCTGTTGTTGTTTGATGGATGTTGCGTCGTATAATAATTTGTTCTAGCTGATGATGGATATGAGCTCCTGGTGAAGCATTTTTGATAAAGAGAATGGTGATTTGGAGCCTGTGATCAAAGCGAAGATTCAAATGGTTGGCATTTACAATAGTTCTTTGAGTGATGATAACAGGAAGTCTAGTAGCAATTTCAATCTATCGTCAGTTTGGAAAAGATCCGATCAAAGGACGTGCTTTTAAAGTACCTTCTGTGAACAAGTCACGAAAGGTACAAGAAAAGGCGACAGACCGCATCAGGCCCATTCTTCGGCACCGACATCACTATACAAAAATCAAACCTTCTTTGAAATAAAGAACTCGCATATGGTGTTGGAGGAAAAGTTTTCTTAATTTGCCAAGAAAAATTGAATCCGAACTTACTATCAAAACCAGAAGTTATAGCAGAAAGATCTGGATATCACGTTGATGTCACTGAGAGCGGTGGTCCTCGATTTCTCCTGAAGTCCTGAACGTCAATGGCCAGGCTTTCGTAGTGTCCTGACTAGTTATAGTTCTAATGACGTAAGTTGAGAGTGCGACTCACATCACAAGTGGTGACATAATTTTCAAGCACATGTAATGTCTTGCACAAGACTGATCTCGTGTTCTATTTAATCGCCTGATGGGGCATTGAAACACCGAAAGTTAATTTTTTTCAGGTGCAGTTCATTTAATTTTTTGTTTCGTTTCAAGCTTTTAATGTATGCATGTTGTGCATGCGTTTTGCATGTTGTACGCAAACGGTTGTGCGCAGTTAAACTGATCTGTTTAAGTCATCATTAAATATCGTGATTTGACTGTTGTACACTATTGATATTTCGTACTCCATAAGTTTACAATTACCACACAATCTTTTGCATGGCCTGTACGGAACTGTTCAGCAAGTAAACACGAAGATTTCTCAACTTTAGGGCGACTAGCGTCACCTTTTATTATTCGCAAATTCTGTTTCAAGTTGCAATGGTCATTAGAAGTAAACTTTGAATTCTGTCTCGACTTGCATTGAACTCGTTATAATGCAGTTAGCGATTCTCCGCTGCGACTGGCATGAGTAAGCAAGAGACCTCGTTATTATTTTACCTCTTTTACGAAATCCATTTTGATTCCGTCGTGATCGGAATTATTAAAGTAACAATGAAATCTGTACTCAAGCCGCCAATAATTGTTCTGTACCATCCGCATTTGGAGTCTATAGGAAGAGCATCAAGCTTCCTTGTAGCTTTGTTTAACTATTATTTTGAATCTGGAACGATGCTTTCACCTGATCATGTTATGCTGAAGCAAAATAATTTCCTGGACAATTGTTTCCTAGACGTAGTAGAAAAAAATGTTAAGGTGTTACTCGACTACAAACAAGTATGTTTACAGTTGGTTACAGCAGAAACATTTGAATAATTATTTTTTTTCGACTACAAACAGTTGCTAACAGCAGAAACATTTGAATAATTGTTTGAAATATTGTTATATATTTTTCCTGTTTTATTATCGTTAGAGTTAGCGCATCAAGTGTACCGGATGCTCCGCAATATCGGAGCAATTTGAAGCAGTATAAATTGCGCATGTATTTCAACAAAATAATTAAAAATCCCGACTGCTGCATTGAATTTTAATATGCTTGTTCTTGTTTTAAATCATATTTGGTGATTTTTTTAGGGAAGAATGAAAATTTGTTAAAGACACTTATAGTTTGGTTATTTTATTTCCTTATCTATCCAATTCAAGGCATTATTTAAGAATAACCTTCAGACACTTTGAACACTTCCCCTACAAGATCTATTCTTCCGTGTGTATCAGCTATCAAGGCTACGGGAAAGTCATGATTTTCTTCCCGATCTCGTTGCTTACAAATTATAGATTGGCACTCCAATCACATTGCCTGTTATATAAATAACACATTTCTAATGACATTGACAACGTTCAAATCTGTAGTCAAATATCAATTCAAAGATATCATTTACATAAATGAAGCATTCGACCATAGATTCAATAATTTTGAAAATCGAATGTGGAATAAAACGTAACAAGAGCGAAATTGATGATTTTCAACATATCTCGAATTGGGATAATGAACTATGTCTTGGTTAAGATGAAAAAATCCTTCTCGCATTATGAACGGAAAAAATTTATCCGTTAAAACTATTCACCAAGATATTTCGACTTTCATTTGTCCAAATCAGTACTTTGACTTCCCTTAGTATCAGTATTCCCGTAGTATTAAATGTTCTTTCTGTAGTATCAGAATTGTTAGAAAAAAATCAGAAAAAAGAAGAATTCAGAGTAATCTTTTATTGATGCAAACACCGGCATTTAATCAATGGATATAATAGAATGATTTTAATAATGTAATTAACTAGATAGAAGTTACGAATCGCAACCGGCGTACACTATATAGTACGTGTACTCTATATAGTACGCATACTCTATATAGTACGTGTACTCTATATAGTACGCATACCCTATATAGTACGTGTACTCTATATAGTACGCATACTCTATATAGTACGTGTACTCTATATAGTACGTGTACTCTATATAGTACGTGTACTCTATATAGTACGCATACTCTATATAGTACGTGTACTCTATATAGTACGCATACTCTATATAGTACGTTTACTCTATATAGTACGCGTACTCTATATAATACGCGTACTCTATATAGTACGTGTACTCTATATAGTACGCGTACTCTATATAATACGCGTACTCTATATAATACGCGTACTCTATATAATACGTGTACTCTATATAGTACGTGTAGTCTATATGTACGTGTACTCTATAGTACGCCGGCTAGCCAATGACGCAGCAGCACTTTGCTGCAGGACGAGCACATAGCGCTAAACTCGGGTGAGTACTTTTCCTGTTAGCCTTCTTCTTTATTTTCGACTGACTTATACTTCAAGTAGCTCGAACTTTATTATAAGTCCTGAAATAAATAATACTAGTTTTTGGAATAGTTCAAGGAAATCTCTCGGAATGATAGAAAATATTACGAAATGATCTGTTTTGCCCACAGATTGTGACAGAGGATGTCGTCGTTCAAGGATGTCATCGATCAACGTTGCACCAAAAAGTTGCAACAATACCATGCGCCGATACGCGATACCTTATCAATACTTTGATAGTTTGTACTAAACACACCAAGACGTTGTACTAAAGACCTTGCTTGCACCGAGGCAAAGAATCAAGACTGTGCCAAACTGTTGCACCAAAACATTTGATTGTTGCAAACTGTTGCACCAAAACGGTGCAACATTGCACCACAGACGCTGCACCGAGACCACGAAACGACTTTTCACACCAGGATGTTGAACTTCCGCGTTAAACCAAGACATTGAAATAAACTTTCGGACGCTGTGATGATTAGAATGTCTGGTTGAAATTATATGAACTATTTTTTTTTAAATAAATTCAATATTTGGTGGCAATATTTTTTGAGTTGAGCCTGGATTAGCATATGTAAATCAAGTGGCTTACATCGAGCACAGCATTGCATCCATTACCATCGAACTGAGTACAGTTGAGCAATTCGTTGACATAATATCGGATGTCCTTTGATTCCGTCTGTGTTTTTTAGCGCATTTTCTCATTTATGGAAAAATTGCACTATTGTGTTCGCCATGTCCGTCTGTCCGTCCGTGACTTCACGTTTTCGTCGACGAGAAAATACGCTCTTTGTCACTCACTGCAGTGTGTACTGAGTTATATTTTTTTTAAATCTTTGATGATATGTCCAAATAATTATGAACTTTTCATTCGAACGAAGTATCCCTGTTTCACTGGAATTTATCAATATTTTTGTAATTAAATTATTTTTTCATTATTATTTCGTCTATTTATTATTATGCGCGTGGCAAAGAAACATGTCACATGTCCTTCTTCCCCCTTATGAATACGCCGTATACAGTTTGTCAGTTTATACAGTTTATATATACAGGATCAGAGAAAATGTACTAGTTTAAATAAAATTGTTCAGCTTGGATCGCGATATTCGTTCATGACGTGGGTCACGAATTTAATTATGAAGTTAGGCCACCGTTCATATTTTCAGTGCTATATTATATTTAGAAAAAAAGACGAAATTTTGTACCTATAAATGTTTTGGTCAATTCGTTGGAACTCACAAGCACAGTCTACTCAACTTTTGAACGCCTGCGTCTCGGAATCGTTCTCTTGAATTTAACCGGGACAACAGGACGAGACGAGAAGAAACGCCCTGTAAAAATAACGACGTGATTGATAGAAATCCTGAAATTTGATTAATGTAACATTATGAGGCGGTTATACTTGTTTTAGAAATCGTTTATTATTCTAAATTTCTTATCATCATTTTAGATAAGAGTCAAGGGGTAAAAATTGCCCCGGAGTAAAGAGTTGACTCAGGATAATTACTTTGTACCGGAATACAAAAATGGAGTCCCGGATGTCACATAACTTTGCGAAACAAATACATATGAAACGACATGTGACATAATGAAACCAGACATTCTATTGCATTTTCGAGGCAAAAATGATATGTTCCATTACAATGTATAACAAGACGAGACATTCTTAACGCCCTAATTCCATATACAGGATCAACAACTGCCAACACAACTTGGTAGGCACTTTATTGGGCAGAATTTGTGTATAATGTCTGGCAGAATAATTTTGTTCTTAAACCTCTCTCTCACAGTGCATCATATTTGATACACTGCAAATACTTGCGTCTAACGCGAACCGTGCGTATTCAGCACGCGTGCAAAATGTCGTTATTGCATCAGCGCTGCTGGTGACTCAAGTGTCTATAGTTCATAATTATCATTGCTTCTGTAGGAACTGTAGGAAGGCAGTTGGGGCAGCCATGACATTACTGCACGTCTGTCTGTCCGTCACCTTATTTTGTCGCCATTTTGAAGTTGAAGGCTAGCTTATACACGAGGCCATTGTGTGCTTCTAAGAATTTATAAAGTTTGACTGCCATTGCATGCCTGTAGACTGTATAGGCCTCAGATGGACTAGTTGTATATAAGACTTTTAATTTTTAATATTGCGCAAATCGACCACCTAAATTTAGAAGATTTATTCCTGAAGATCATCAATCGAGTCATAGTTGTTGATTTAGTATAAATTGACAAAACTAGATGTCAGAACCTCGTATTGCTGTATCTCTCTATTGAATGTTCTATTGAAAATGATAGATTAACTAAGTGCTATTCGCAAGCGAAGAACTATGTTAGAAATTAATTAGGTATGAAATTTTCTAGAGCTCGGTTAAAAGTGTGAATGAAATAAATAACAGATGTTAGAAGCCCTAAATTCTCAATCAATCACCCGTATTTCCCGTATTTATTATAACTAAGAAACAAGTGCAAAATTCATCCACGACCTTTATGATTAATGTGACACCAAGGAACGAGGAGGTGCGAAAAGAAGACTCATCAGATTTTGTCAGGTAATAATATTTTAAAGACATTCGTTTCA